GACAAAAATATTATCTAGTATGGTCTTAATTTATATGTCTTTACTGCTAGCTAGATTAAAAGTGATTCCATATGAGTATTTATTAATTGTAGATCATAAAGTATACAATGTCTTTTTTGCTTCCCCCAATTATCTGCTGGATTCTAGTATTTCCATTTTTGTTTTCAATTGACCATTCATAATCCTATATCTGTTATCACTGGTGCAAATATTTTCTCCTGCCCATTTTTTGATTTTAGTTTCTACTCTGTTTTCAAAAGGGGCATTTCTTTTCCTCTAGGCATACAAATCTACCCACTTGCTAAATAGCTTCTAAATTACAAGCCATTTTCCTCTCATAATTTATAGGTTTATGTCTCTCATTTCAATTGATATATAAGATTTCAGGGACAAATTCTATACTCTTCTAACATTTTATCTTTTGCATTAAAATACAGTGGTTAACAAAATTCTTTTAAGAGAAATATCTTGTCTGTTTCTGTTTTCATTTTCCATTCTTAATTTATTCCAATCTGATTCTATCAAATTGACATTGTCCTCACTAAGAAGGCTTTAACCCATCTTATCTACTAAACATATTTATTCTTTATTTTCATTGTCTTCTCTGCTGAATTCAACTACACAAACTATTTCCTTTGTCTTTAAACTCTCTTCTCTGCAGGATTTTGGAACATCAGACTTCAAGTGCTTCCTTTCAGGCTCCTTTATAGATTCCTTCAGTTGTTGGTGCTCCTCATTCTACGAGTATCTAGGAGCCCCCTACTCCGTCCCCACCCCACCCCATGCCTGGCACTGTGCTGGCTTTTGATGACAGTCAACTAGATTTGAATTGTTTATTGCCTCATGGGGCTAGCAGCCTAGAGGACTAGATATTACCAACCCCTACCTTATTCTGGTTCTCAGTTCCAGCTGAACTTCAGAATCACACCTTATTTTTATCATCATCATCCTACTAAGTCTGTTTTTCCTCCTGAATCCCCAAGTCATCCAGACCAGGTACTCTGCAGTCAACCTTGGCAGCTCATCCTTTATGTAACATCTAATCAGAAACTGGGTCTAGTCTACCTGCTGGGCTTCTCGCTACTGTTTGGCTCCTCCTTTTCATCCCCATTGTCCCATTTTGAAGAGGAGTGAGTAAGCCTCTGCTGATTTACTGACATCCGTGCCTCAGCCCACTACAGTATGGCTTTCTCTGCACACCGTTTCACTAGAACTGTTCACACTGAGTGTACTAATATGGCTAAATCTTTGCGACTTTTTGACGTTCTTATCTCACTTACTCCTCTATAATATATGACATTGTTGTCCATGCCTCCCTTCTTAAAAGGCTTATTTCCTTTGACTCTTGTTTAATTACACTTATGCTGTTTTTTCTCTGTCATTTTGTCTTAAAGCCCAGTTTCCTTTTCCTTTGCCAACTTTTCCCGTCTAAGGATTCTATCCTGGGCCCAATCTTATTCTTAGGCTATAATCTTCCTGTAAGAGGATATTCATTCAAGTTTTCAAAATCACTTTCCTCATCTCCTTCTGAAATGCGTCCATCCAAAGCCCCTCCACTTAGGTATCCTACAGGTAATTTAAACAGAGTATGTAAAAGCTGAACTCATGTGTTATGCCACCTTTTCCAAATTCCTAGAATTCTAGCATCAGACTCTGCAAAACACGGAAACTAGAGTGTTGTGCTGAAGCAGCATTCTTCCTCACCCTTCAATTGTGGATTTTACCTCCTAAATTCATTTCAATCTATCAAATCTCTGGTATTCACATTCTCACTTATTTAATTTCAATTCATCATATCTTTTCAATTACTGTAACTGCCTTCTCACTGGTCTTTATGCTTTTGGTCTTGTTCCCATGTATGTATCTCCACACTGCAAATGGTCTTGATAAAGTACAAATCTAATTATGCTCTTCCAGAGGTTAAACTCCTGGTTGTCCACTCCCTTCGGATAATGTTCAAAACATTTTGCATAGCATATAGGCCTTCTATACACCTTCA